AAAATCTTTTAAAACTAAAATTCCGTTGACTAAAATTCCGTTGACCCTTCCTCCTTTTCATTCATTTTGGCGTAATCTCCCCACTAAAACATATATTAACTACAATTAGAAAAAATCTAACTACTTGCGTTTTGGCGCAATTTCTCCATTAAAATATATATAATATACAAGTACTTTTCCAATCAAAAACCACCTGCATATATTGTAAATACACATGTATTAACTTCTGTGGTTCGTTTTGGCGGGATTTCCCCACTAAAACATATATTAGAAAAAGTTAGAAAAAAGCACTTGCATATATGGTAATACATATAAGTATATATATATTAGCTTTTCCCTTCATTGGCTGTCTCTCACATATATTTTTCATTTATTAGCATTATTTTTCTCATTTAACATTTAAAATGCTCAATTCTGCTATTTTGCTCTCCGCAGGGGCAAAAATTCTGGTGAAATCAGCTTATAATTTGTTTGTGGTGAAATGCACTAATGTTAGCGAGTAACCCTCCGTCAAGAGGAACATTTTGACAATCGGCACACCATGAACCTTCTCTATGATATACGTTCTCTGGTTCATCGTAAAGGGATAGTAGAGAAGCTATTGTATCAGCTGATCAGATGTAAACAAAGCAACAGCTGAAAACCCGTCTAGGGGTTGAGGTTCAATTGGCATCCAAGATGGACTACTTTTGACCGAAAAATGGGTGCTTATTGCTTTTTCTTTTAATTTATGAAAAATTTGTCCCAAATATACTGGTTATATGCAAAACTGTGATATTTTTTCAAAACAAAATCAGTTTATTTTAATAAAATTTTATAAGGAGCGATTTTTATTGGCAAATTTCAGAATAATTAAGATATATGTATATATATGCCTCTTTTTAACTGTGGTAAATTAATAAATATTCACCATAGTAAAATGTAAGGTTCACTTAAGCAACCATGTGAAATCCAGAAACTGCTTATTCAACGAAACTGGAGATAAGTTTTATAAATTTATACAAAAATAATAATTATATTAAAAACAATACTCAAAAACAACTCACCTTTGTAAAAATAGGTCCGTCCATGTCAAAAATATTCAAATGTGTTGCCAGTATTGTCATTGAGCATTACGTAACAGTGTTGGGTATGCTAATTTTAGAATAATTTTTAGGAAAGAAATATATCTGCCGTATAATATAAAGATATTGTAACTTCAACAAAAAATTTATTTAAGAAGCCTGTATATTTAAAAACTAAACATAGAAATATATAATAATATGGTAATTTTTTACGTAAAGAGAATGAAATATTGTACATATTTTCAACGCTAAATGATGAATTATAAAACGAACTGAAATTTGTGTTTAAAAAAATGTATATATAAATTAGAGAAAACATCGGCTCAGTATTTATTTATTGATTTATCTACAATGATAAATTTTGCTTTATTGATTATATGAATTATCAAATTCTGTTACAATAGTTACGTCTACTCATAGTTAAATTGAATTTTTAGTTTGTCTATTAATAAGTTAATTGAAATGCTTAAAAATAAGCCGCATATTTATCTATATTAACATGGTATAATATAATATCATATTTTGTTAACAGCATTTAACATAATTCTATAACCAAAATTGAAAATATTTGAAAATAATTATAACGGCGTTTTTTGTTATGCGCAACCAGTTTTAACCCCTCGCCATCCTAACTCACCAGGGGCGGCCATGTTGGTCTTATTGTGAACGTACGCCTGGAAAGTGGAAAAGTACTCTGAATGGGCACATTCTCTACTCCCTTATACCATGTTTTAGTTAGTATGTTGTCGTGTTAAGGGCAATTAAGATATAAGTAAGAAGTTGTTAGCTCGGATAATGAGTAATATAGCGATAAGTTGTTAGAATTAGAAATAAAGATAAGTGTATAGCCATTAAAATAGGACTTTTATTTAACAATCCAGTGATCGAACTCAAAAGTGAGTTACAAGGTAGATGATTAATATAGAAATCCGTTACAATATAATACAAGAACAAGAATAACTACACAAAGCGAAAACTATCTATTGAATTTTTCGTTATAAAAATATTTTTAATGAAAAATAAAGGATAATAACAAATTTAAATTTGTATGAACAAACTGATTAATATATTCTAATATAAACTAAAGTCATTTATAATATGCAATACATGCAATATTATAATAGCAAGATGTAACTACAATTACATACGTACAATATCAATAAAAATTTAATAATTTACTTACTTGTACGAGGGCTGCTATATAGCTGGCTGGCCTAGGCAACACTAAGTGTTGCCAGGTGCAATCTGACATTTCCATTGGAAAGTTTGACATTTTTTAGCATAACATCACTCAGAACGTTTTGTCATTTAATCGTGAATTGTTTTATTTACAGGGATTTAAAAAATCTTCCCGGCCAAAAATGGAATTAACTCGTGAACATTTTCGTGTGATCATTTTTCACAACTTTCGACGTGGATTATCACGACAAGCGTGCATCGATGAACTAAAATCTTTGTATGGCTATGAAGCACTATCCTATAGCACTGTGAAAAACTGGTACAACGAATTCAATCGTGGCCGACGCTCGCTCAAAGACGAATTCCGTGAAGGTCGTCCAAAAACATCCGTTGTGCCAGAAAACATCGATGCCGTACGTGAACTGATAAGGCAAGACCGTCATGTAACATACCTTCAGATAGAGGCATGCCTATGCATTTCTCCCACCAGCATACATTCGATATTGCATGAACACCTGGCCGTAAAAAAGGTTTGTTCTCGTTGGATCCCGAACAATTTGACAATCGCTCGTGGATTGGTGTAAAGAAATGCTGAAAAAATACGATCGCGGTGCTTCAAAAGACGTTTATAAGATCGTCACAGGTGACGAATCATGGATCTATGCGTATGAGCCCGAAACAAAACAGCAATCGACCGAAAAAAAAAACATTTTCGTTGATGAATATTCGTATTTTCATTATTAGGCCAGAAATATATATAGCAGCCCTCGTATTCACAATCACTCCACTATTTTTTGTTAACAATTCATACTCGCCAATCAACCATTCGAACGCCTCGGCCGTCAGACGGAACTCCTCCGCTTCATACTAAGTGCCCACCGTGCAGCTCACCAAGGGAAAACTTTAGAATACCGTCCCAGGCTTTCGGGGATAAAATGAGTATGGGCGGATAGAGGACATCCTCCAGATCAAGAATATATATAGATATAGCCGCGGGAAACTTCTAGTTTTCGAGATATTTACGTTTAAAGTTGAAATTTTCAAATCGTTAAAGTACGTATTTAAATTGAATTATACACTTATATTTTTCACCTTTATATCCACTAACACTTCACTATTTCGTTTGTACACATTTATTTTACATTATATATTGCAAAAATAGCTTTAATTCAATATTTAAATCATTGTTCAATTCTATTAATTTTGACAATAACAAAAGGGTTGCAAAATGTCAAATAACAAGTGTTACCTTATCGACATCTTTTGTAAATGAACTGAAAGAAGTGAAAACAAGTAATAACCCAAATACAGGAATTCAAAACCTAGAAACATAAAATATTAGAGACCATTGATGTTAATCCGTTTTGCGTTGGCGACCGTCAGCCGCGCTTCGGCCGCGCTTAAAAAAAAAATAACCCCGGTCAGTTCAACACCGGTATAGTATGGCAACACTGGTTATTTGACATTTTCAACCCTTTTGTTATTGTTAAAATTAATAGAACTGAATAATGATTTAAATACTGAAATAAAGCTATTTTTGCATCATATAATACAAAATAAATGTCTAAAAACGAATTAGTAAGTGTTAGTGGATATAAAATGGGCCTCCTAAAGGCCTAAGTGCGTCGAGTGACAGCCACTTTACCTACCTACCCTACCTAGTGGATATAAAAGTGAAAAATATAAGGGTATAATTAATTTTAAATGGAAAAAATACGTACTTTAAATAGTTGAAATTTTCTACTTTAAACGTAAATATCTCGAAAACTATAAGTTTCCTTGCGGCTATATCTATTCTTGCTATGGAGGACCTCCTCTATCTACCCATACCGATTTTATTTCCGAAATCTTGGGACGGTATTTTAAAGCCGACCCCAGATCCGTAAGTGGAAATGAATTTTTTTTAATAATTTTATAATAATATATATAATATAATAATAAAAAATAAGATATTAAACTAAAGTTAACTCACATGAATTGCTTATTTGTAGTATTGTATTACTTTGTATGTTGTATTACACTACGTGTTTCTCGACATCCAAATCTGAAATAATAAAAATATACAATGAATAAAAATTATTATAGATATATTTAAAAGAATTATTCGTTATTTAAATATGTATATATCAAATAAGAACTTACATGTTGACACGTCAAAATTATACACATTGTATATATCTACAAGTAACCCTACAAGAAATGCTGGTTCACCAATACACTCACATTTATTGTGTCAGTACTGACAGTCATATGAACAATGACTATCAATGTTTACGATTTTTCCGAAAGAGACAGCATAGGTTTTCATCGAAGTTTCGAGAAGTTGTAAAATTCCTATGTAGCTGTTATTCCGTGCGATACACCAAAAGCAGAGATAAAGAGACGCCCAACTCATATCTCATTGGAAATTAGAGCGAATCGCTACACGTCAAAACCACCTGAACTCAGGCTCCTGTCAAAGTTCAGGAGGTCTGACGTTTAGTAATTGGAAAAAGAGGGACGGCCAGATTAAAATCCTACAGAAAAATATGTGAACTGAGAGATTTGTTGCTGCTATTGAAGATCACTAACAAAAATTTGAAAACAATGAAAATGAAAGAAAACACGAAATTGGAATGTATGTGATGAAATATTTTGTGATGCTATCATAGCTGCTATTTGTCAGTCATGACTGTAAATCTATCACAAGTGAAAAATTCTTTTGCGCAGTTGACAATATAATTTTTATTTATTTAAAAAATTTTAAACTTTTAATCAAAATTATTTATAATAATATACATAAATACAAAAAGGATTGCAACAAAAAGTATAATTAAATAATAAAATATGAAAAGAAATTTTCACTTGATGCCATCTCCCCCTCTCAGTAGTTTTGCGTATATCTTTCCCAATCAGTGGATATTTCTGAATTTAAAAATGCAAATGGAAATTAACTAAATATATAGTTTTATTTGACACTTATTTAACTTACGAATGTATGTATATCTTATTTGAAAACTCTTTCATAAAAATGTAAGTATATATAATATTTAACACCAAATCCAAAAGAAGCGTGCAACACTTTTCGTTTGTGGCAAGAAGAACAGTAAAAAAATTTTAATATTAATTTAAAGTTAAATAGTAGGAATACAATGTAAATATGTATAGCAAAAATAAATATCAAGTAGTTTAAATTAAAAGATCTTAAGAGCATTACAAAAATATTTTACCGAGGGTAATGATGGTGTTTAAAAATCGAACAAATTTAAGAAAAGAAATCTTCAATTATTACCAGATTGTTCAAAAATGAACATGGGCGTTAGGACCACAAGGGCCCCACTTAGACGGCGTGCAGCAATAAATTTAGTTTTATTATTCTACATATTAAGATAAGAAACATATGAATATACAGTCCACTAACCTTAAATATGCTCAAATATATTTAACAGGCATACATACATACATAAGCAAATAAACAAATATACACTCATATGATAACTTGTAGACCTAAGATATATATTTAGGCATTGATTACAAGTGCATGTGTCTTACAAACCAATTATTCACAGATATTTTGATAATGAAGATTTTGTATGAAACTCTGATTTTGTTTGATATATTCGTCATATTTTGATGATTATTTTATATAATATCTTCATTTTGAAGATAAACTGTTGTCAACACAGAACTTGTCCCAAATTTCACAGCTGTTTATGTTACCAGATTCGATAACTTGAGAAGATCGGGAAATATTTAGTTGAACCCCTGAATATATTTGTGGCGATAATAGAAAAGCTTGTTCATTTATGTGACATAGAAAATTTCCTAAAGATTCAGAGAATGTAAATGAATAGAGATGGCGCAAATGTTAGCTGTTCTAAAATATAAACTATGAGCGAATACGAAAAGTGCGAAAAAATTTCAGCGATTTAGAATATATTTTAATCTATTTCATATTATGCACTATATGTGGATTAAATTATAAAATTTATATAAAATTGACATTCATATGAAATCTTTAACTACTTCTATGTATTCTAAGCACATTCCATATTTATTATTATCATTATTTTATAGTTTGTCAATTTAGCACATTTTATCAAAAACGACGCTATGAAAATGCAGCCCAATGTATCGTCGTAAAGTGACAAAATAGCCGACTGACATTGTCGCAAGATTGTCGATTGAAACAAATTTTGCAACCTGCTACGAATCGCACAATTTGGTTTCAATATGTATGCGAGCTCATAGGTACATATGTATGTATACATTTATGTTTGTCGACAAAGTCGTCATTTGGTTTTTCAATCACATAATATCTGCGGGAGCTCACGCTATCTCGTTCTTGCACCCAAACAAAGGGCATTTCAACTGAGGACCCATAGGAATTATTATATATACATATGTATTGAAAATACTGATGCATTAATGACTTATTTTCGTAATTTAATAACAATATTCGTAAAATATAAATACAGATAAATTCATACTTATAATCGTTTTAAAATAAATTCGATTAATAAAATACCAGAAATTAATTATGTGGCAGTGCGCCCTGACCTCCTTTGCTTAGATCGTTCAACCAGAGAACTTAAAACAAATTGAATTTGTATGATGCTCGATTTTGGTTGAAAATTTAGATCAAGGAGTTCACCACTTTCTGTATAGTTTTGCTGTTATTTAACAGAAATGAGAATTTTTAAACAATTCTCTGACAAAATACGTACACCAATATAAAGAGAAAAATGAAATGATATGAATGAGAAACAAGAAATACAAATGCCATTCACATATGCATGATTATTTTTGCCATATAAACGATTTTATGATGAAAAATAAATTATTTTTTGCACAAATGCTACATTGATAAAATGAGATTATAAAAAATGATATTTTACTATTTTTTAAATTTTTATTTTTACAGATAATTTATTGTATGTACATCAATATTATATATAATATAATAATATATATCTAATTATCAATAAATACATGTGAGACCGTTCTATATGGGTATATACAAATATGATATGACGCGCAAAATAAGTAATGTATACACAAATCTAATACATTTAAGCGTCAAATGTACATGTCAGCCAATAGGAAAATACAAAATTGTTGTAAAAACAAAATTGTTCTAAATAGATCAGACAGAAATCAATATGGAGCCAATGACAACTCTAATTTGTAATAAATCACACACAACAACATTATTCATAAACTCGCTACAAGCAATAAGCTAAGCTGTTTCATCCAAAGCAAACGCCTTACACATCTCCCCGAGCATGCGTTTGCCTCGCGTCTTTTCGCGACGATGGAAAAGCTAAAAATCATAAATTGAACAAATTTCTGATATTCCCTCAGAAAGGAAAAGTGACAACCCTCAAATATGAGTATTAAAATATTTTAGAATAAAAGTGACAACATAGTAAATTTGTCGATTTACAATTCAAGAAACTTTTAAAGAAATAATAATATTCTGAGAATACAGTAAGCCCCGTAAGTATCACTCTCCAATCCCTCTTATCTGCCGGTGTCTTGCTGCATCTCACTTTTTTTCTTAATTTTTAAAGAAACGGTAATTTTTAAATACATAGTAATCTAATATCTAATCTAATCTAATAAAAATCGATCTTTGGTTTTGGCACTTAACGGATTGACTGTATTTGTCAAAGAATTTACGTAAGTACGTTCGAATTTTGTACAACATTGACTTTGCACTTGCCCATATGCGATGTATGTTTGTAAGAGTGTGTATGGCACATCTCGGATTTTCTACCAACAACACAATGTTGTGACGCTTGTCGTCGCGTCAGTTCTTCGACAGATTGATCTTTGACATAAAGCAAAAATGGTCAACGGAGATTTCACATGAAGTAATGAGTGTCATATCTACATAAAATACATAAAATGTGTAAACGACATAATATATGTATGTCCTGTTACATATGTTTACACATGCATTTGAAAAGAAAATTAGCAATGAATGTGAAATTGACGGCAAAACACAATTTGTACTTTATGACCCATAATGGGTCAAGTAATAATTAATGAATTATTTAAGAAATATATCAAAATACTTTTAAATTATTACTAATAAAGTATTTTGATATATTTCTCATAATAAAGTAAAAATGAATTAACATAAAATAATTTAAAAAATAATAAATAATAGTTCAATAAAAGGGAATATATTATCAATATGCCCAGTTTTGCTCACATATTATATTCTCTTCAATATTCGTCGGTTGGTTATGTTAAGAAAGCGTATGTGTACAGATTCACCGCTGTTATAAAAGCGAAAAATGTTATTGGTTTCTCTTGCATCTGTGGTGAACTCCTTGATAAATTCCTACAAATTGCTCGCTGCCGAACCTGCACCTTCTCATTGTTTTAAGTTCTCTGGTTCAACTTGCTTCTCGCAAAAAGCAAAAAGTGTAGAAGTCATTGTTTGTGCGTGCAAGAAGAAGCAAGCATCAGCGTACGTGTATTTAAGAATGTACATATGTGTGATCACATTTGTGTAAATACGTAAGTATAAATAAGGTAACATTCAATAAACCTAAATAGATGAACATATTTCCTTAAAATATTTTAATTGTCTCATTAAGCTATTGAAGTAATTGAATTAAGATATGCTAAGATTCCGATTAATAAAATAAAATATTAAATAAAATTTAAGTTTCATGAGTTTTAGGATTCGAACGTAAGTATATGCTCGTATTCGGATTGTGCTTAACTCCTTCACGCTTACGACCTAAGCCCCTTGAAAAGTGGAAACGCGGCCGCTTTAGTCATAGTTTTATTATTATATTTTCCTCTGTTCAATAAGCATATTGCTTACGCACCGCACATACAAAAGTGGGAAAAATTGTATATTAAATGTTTATTTCATTATGAATTCTGGAGTTTTTGCCAGTAATCCTCCTTTTTAATTCAAAAGGCTTTTCTTAATTATAAATTTTGCCATATCATTGAAATTGAAAACACAAATCTAAATAGGTATGCATATCAATAATTCATTTAACAACATTCATTGTGTCTATTTCTAGCCTTTTCTCCGTTTCGCACATTGCGTGGTGTATTTCTCTATTTCGAAGTTATATTTTTCGATGTTCCCTTATCTGGAACTACAAATTAGTACTCAAAAATACTCCTTCCTTATTCATTTACATTCTCTGGAATTGCATTGAAAATGGACCATTTCACAAAATGATGGACCAATGGCTCAAGAGAAAAAAATGAACCAAAACGGTAACCGTGTATGCAATCATATTTATCGATATGAATATCATTTTGCGAATTTTTATGAATGAATGTAAAACTAATAACATTCTAATTAAATTCTGCAATTTTCAAAGTAATATTTATAGTCAATGTGCAAATAAGACGTACTTTTTTAAATATATCTTATGTTTGATAATATAATATACTTTCATATTATGTATATACTAAATGCATAACATAATATCATAATATAATAAAAAACTTGATATATTACAATAGTAATTTATATAAATCGTACCACTCGT